AGAAGATGAGAATAAAGGTCGGATTTATTGGGAACTATTCGGTCCACACATTCTTTGAAGTTGTTAGAAACGCAAACGGTTTTTTTCAAATAATAATATACGTCAACATCAGTCAAATTTTCATATCTCTGCACCACAAAAATAAAAATAGAAACTCCTCTATGATAATGTCCACAATGAACTAGTAGCGACTGAATTGATCAATTAGATGGGAGATGCAACAAGCCAACAAAAGACCAGAACTGCAAATAGACTCGAATTCTCAAAGGAACCATATACTTTTGTACATTAATATTGTCCATTTCTAATCTAATCCCATTACAGTATTATGAACAACTACTGACGGTATATACAAAGATATACAAGAATTATCAACTAAAAATCAAATCAAACCACAAATTTATTAATTAATTAAAGAATAAACTAAAGTGATCTCATTACTTATTAATTTGAATTATGCTCTATATATGTAAAGCATATGATGATATCACCTTCTGATAACAAGGAGAACATTATACAGTGTTGTGAAATTTACCATACATTAATGTTGGTGAACAGTAAATTGCAGCCCTTCAATACTGTAGACTTGTTTTAAATAGTAGCAACTAGTAACATACTGTTTATTTGGTCAATAGATGCAACATTTTAAAATACTGAAAATAATCAATCAATTCCCACATATTAAGATAAATATTGTTGGATGCATCCAATACTATTAGCATATGGTTTTACAATAATAAATTGTCCAAACAATAATTGTACAAGATACTTTCTACTCGACAACAGAAGACAATTTTCCTAACCAACATACTCTACGTTTACTATATTAGGAAAAATTATCTATCTTTAAAAAATACTTTTTTTTCAGGTTTCCAACAATTTTAACAAAGGGCTTGTCATATCATAGTTCTATTCGTAATATTTTAAAGTTATTCCGTGGATGGTCCAAATATATAGTAATTTCCGTAATTTAATATAATGATACATATAAACTATATTCGAAAGTATATTAGATACTTTTCTTCATCCCTAAATCTCAGTCCTCCGGTAAATTAAGTTACATCTTTCTTACTTAGGTGTAGGCGTGAAGAAAAACCTTCGAAAGAATAAACACCCAAATAAATCTGGACTCAAACACAATAATGTTCGTTCTCTTCTCATGCATGCCGAAAACGTTTACCCGCACTCACTAGTTTTAATCCAACATGCGATGTGTTCCCTCAACGAACAACCTTTCATAAAATTCAGTCATCTGGAAATATACAATTAAGAATTTTCTTATAAATGAGATTTCTCTTTGACCTCGTATTATCTACCCAACTGATTTTCAATGAAAACAAAGAAAAACGGCCAGACCTAACTTTACTAAATACTGTAATAAATACCATTGACCAAAATTCAATGGAAACCTTTTTTTTAAGTACAAATTACTAGAAAGGAAAAAAAAACAATTCTTGTTTTACTTTTTAATCCCATTCTTGTTTGGATCTTTAATTTAATTTAATATATTTGTTAGATAGGGATGTTTCGAGTTTTAGTACTCGGCTTACTAACCCGTAGGTGTATAGTGAATTTTTTAGGTAATAAACTATATGATCGAATTTAAAAAGACTAATACATATGGCTACATACTACAGATTCCAGGTTTAGAATTTTTAAGGCAGAATAAGATATACATGTTTGTGGTTTTCAAGTTCTATCCTAAAAGATAAGCTAAAGATAAATGAAATTAAACAAGGAAACATGCAATTGCTAAAAGAAAAGGAGAAAACAACTTAAATGTTTAAGGATTAAACATGAGGCGATCCAAACCAGTTTTGCGATAGTTTAAGCAAGTGAGCTAGTGAATCTGGTCCTACGCTACCATATCAAAAAATTCAAATAACCAATGGTCTATTGTTTTTCCATATTTTCTTAAAGAATACAAGATTACTCATACATTTTGTATCACTAGTTTTTTTTTAGTATAAAATCTGTTTGAAATAGTTTAGTTATTTCATCTAACGATAATAGTGTATACAATTCGTTTTTTTAATAAATTTGAAGGTAAAATATATAGAAATTTTGTGAAAATATCATTGTTGGACTACTAAAGATGAAGTTCATAAGAAAACAATTGTTAAGCTTGTGGCAACCATTGAAACTGGGACATTGAGTCAACATCACTATATATAGCAGGTTATAAAGTTCTGCCCCTGATCATGTTAAATTTCTTCTTTTCTGTGTTCACAAAACTATACGGTAATGATAATCCATGCAGGATCCAGTGCATACTAGAATTCTAGAATGCAACTGATATGGTAGCACGACAACTTCTCCTTCTCAACCAATTATCAAAATTTTATGTGTTTTTAAAACGATACCGTGATGAACATTCACAACTGAACGCATGATCAGATCTGTCACTAGAAATGGATAACGTTCTAATATTTTCACCCCTAATCGGATCTATAAACAAATAATGTTTGTGTTTAAAGATTATGTCTGGACTTGTTTCCGTATGGTTACAACATGTAATTTATGAAATTTGGAACTTCTTTTTTGTTCTTAAGCCAGTAGTATGATTGGATTCGCTATGAGGTATCCATAATTCCAACTTTACTTAAAAAAATTATGTAATCATTAAAATATACCTCGATATTTTTTTCTTACACGTCGATATTTCCTCGTAAAATATTTCTCAGAAGAAAATGATCGATTATGAAAATTTATGTTTTAGTGGAGGCAATATATAGTAAGCAACTATGAGCACGGAGGAAGAGTGGAAGTCTTTGGTGCCGTTTCCACTACGATTCCAACAACATAGCCACCTGCTTACGAAAACGTTATCACTCTTTCTTTATTTGTTTCTAGATATAAAAAAGTATCTATATATAAATTATGTCTTCATGATGCACCACCATTTTTCACAAATTGGAGTGTTATTACAATCATCCTGTGTCCTTTTTTTTTTTTTTTTTTTTTTTTTTTTTTTTTTTTTTTTTTTTATCCTGTGTCCTTGTTGTTTACTAAGATTGTAACTCTACACTCATCCCATCTGGATTCAGTTATGATACTACGTGTAACTTCCCAACCGCCACCACCGTCTGTGGAATCCATTCTCTTGGTCCATGGATTATCTACACGACTCCACCGTTGGCCAATGCATTATTCAAAAAGTTTTAAAGACTTGTCGACTATTCCTATAAATCACCATGCGATTGCCCCCATATATGTTGTCTTCACTTATATGATATTGAAAGGTGATAAGTCATCTAACTTAAGATGGTTTCAGCTTAAACAAACGTTTAACTGTGAAATTTTTTATAGAAATAAGAAATGTACTTTTGATATCATAGGTAGCAAAATGAATTTATGTGGTTTTAGGATCTTTGAAATGTCCATTCATGTACAAGATCAATAAGTAAATATCCCTGATAGAGGACACTAATTCACACCCCACGTGTTGCTAACCCACCACAAAGCTAACTAAAAAATGCATTAGTTTTTTTTTAATTGAAGTTCCTTTTTATCTATATATATATATATCCATTATTATCATTTTCTATTATATCTTCCAAAAGCACTTAGATAAATTTGCCTTATTTTGAAATATCGGAATTTAGTGTGATACAAACAAAATAATAAAAATTTATGTGTGAATTGTATAGACTCTTCTTAAGCATCAGAATCGTTCCTTGTAGACGTTAATGTACAACGTGAACTTTCACAATCTATTAAACGAAGTCACAGTTTTTTTTCTATGGAAAGAATATTCTATGATGAATATAAATATGTAAATCCGATAAAACTGCTTTTGTCAGATATACTTTGCATATGCGTTTGTAATTTGTTATGAAATGGTTGCTGATAGGTTGTTGACGCACATAAATTGTGTGATATATCTTTTTTTGTTGATAAAGAATTTGTGTGATATATCACCTGATCATGTAGTGTTAAGCGTGCAAGTGTTTGTATAATAAAGTGTGTGGAAGACATTTGTATATATGAACAACTATATAATCTTCACAAACACGTCTAAAACTCTCATCGAATAATTTAATAACTGTACAAGAGTTTGATACTTTGATATCAAATTTAGAACACTTAAAAAGAGTGAATTTATCACAAAATGCTGACCGCTTCATTATGTAATCCACCATCTTTCTAGGTTCGTGTTTAGTTCTTAAAATTTCATCCGTGTATGACGATTGTGTGATGTTCTAAAGTTTTCGAAAAAACTATCGTGTATAAGTTTTGTTTTCTATATATTATTTTCCAAATTAAGCTTAATATATGGATTAGAAAACGTTTGGCTAACTTAAAAATCAGTGATTATTAATATTCATCACACCAATATAGTTTTTGGAATAAAAATGTTAAAATTTCCAAATGTCCCAAACTTGTGATCAAATTTAGAACGTACTAAAATTGTGATTATTATTTTAAATTAACACCAAATAGATATTATTATATATATGCACACATTATAGACGTAACTCTCCTACTTCCCAACTATTTCCTAATCTTCTTCCGGCCAGTCAAATGGGTGATAAACTTCGATTATCAGTCGGGATTTTGGGTATTTTTTCCTCTAAATTGTAGTGTTATATTTTCTTAATCTACCCTATGCTCTTTTTCGATTCTAATAATTTTAACTTTTTTTTTGTCGTCTAATATTATATTATTTTTTACTTTAAACTTAGTTTTCACTCTAACATTGTCAAAAAGACAACGTGTGACGCATTAATATTTACAAGAAACAAATTAATTGTGTTGAGTTTTTTATTTTTCTTTCTTTATCTCATGCTCTGCAGGAAACGGAGCTTCCTTGTTGCTCTACACAGCTCCAATGTACGTAAAAACGGAAAACCAAACAAAAAAATCCCAATAGCTAATATAATTAACCAAGAAAGTAGATTATACCTTTTTTTTCTTCTTCTTAAATGGCATGTAGATTAACAATTTCAAGGGTGTTTAAGAAGAAAAGCACAGAAGAATTCTCATGTTTTCCTTATGTAATGACACTCTTCAACTGTTTGATCTACACTTGGTATGGCTTACCAATTGTGAGTCATCTTTGGGAGAACTTTCCTCTCGTCACCATTAATGGAGTCGGCATCCTTCTCGAATCAACCTTCATTTTCATATATTTCTTCTACGCGTCGCCAAAAGAAAAGGTTGTTTTCATTATAAATCATACAATATAATGTTCCGGATCATTTGGTAAATGTATTAACATTTAAATTAGATTAAGGTTGGTGTTATATTTGTTCCCGTGATCGTTGTGTTCGGGTTAACGACGGCAATCTCAGCCGTGGTATTTGATGACCACCACCACCGGAAATCATTCGTCGGAAGTGTTGGCCTTGTGGCTTCTATCTCCATGTATGGTTCTCCTCTCGTCGTTTTGGTAAGCTATTTGTATATATATGCTAATATGCAATGAATCAAGCCAATGAATATAGATACTTGTTAATTATTTTAACAAGAATAAATACTTATGGATCAAAATAACGTGAATGTGTGTGCAGAAAAAGGTGATAGAGACCAAAAGTGTGGAATACATGCCGTTTTACTTGTCCTTCTTCTCATTTCTTGCTAGTTCCCTTTGGCTGGCCTATGGTTTACTAAGTCATGATCTCTTTCTTGCGGTTCGTTTTCCCTAATTCATTCCCTTTCTTTTGTCGATTTCTTGGTTACTACACAAAATTTTAGAACCTTGGTTACTAATCAGCCTAAAGAAAATCCATTACAACGAGATTGAAATGTTTAGTGTGAATAGTTCAAAATATACATTTCAATAACTTGTTAAGATTTCATGTGCATGTTATTGATGATGGTATTAAATGATTTTTAATTATAGTCACCTAATATGGTGGGGACTCCATTGGGGATTCTCCAACTGATCATCTTCTTCAAGTACAAGAATAAGAAGGAAGCACCAACAACAATGGTGATGAACACATGTAATGATGAGAGGAACAATACCACCATTGAGCTTGTAGTTGACGTTGATCATGATAGTGATGCCAATGTGAAGAATTTAAACATTGCATGCTAGTTACTTTCTAAATTTATTTCATGTGTTTTCTTGTGAATCCACAGATTTTACGTAAACTTCTCATGTGTTGTGCTTTCATTACATGCATGATGTTACATATATCTCATAAGATCAAGATCAATGAAGAACAAAAAAAAAAATTCTAAAGAAGATGTATAGGCGTAATAATGGGCCGGTTAAAGCGCAAAGCCCATATATGTATTGGTTTCACTGTTAGCCCAATAAGAAGACGCTCTTAAAACAAAACGGCGTTTAAAGAAACCGCCAGATAAAACGGAGTTTTGGATTCCGCTTTTCCTCCCTAATCCCTATCTCATCTCTCTTCCTTCTTCTCTCATACATCATATCTTCCCCAACGCGAAACCCTAATTTCTCTGCAGATTCCCAATCACTGAGAGAGTTTATTCAGGTAACAGGACATCTCCTCATTCTTCTCCTCCCTTTTTTCATTTTTAGAATCCTTTTGCAGTAATTTGTTTTGAATCAAGTGTACTTCGCTGGGAAAATTCAGCTATTTGATTTCTTCGACTCGATATAGATTCTTCACTGGCGTCACTTTGTCTCTTCTTTTGATGAATTTGTTGAGATCTGAAGAGATATCTGGTGCCAATTTCATCGAGTACTGTAACTGTTTCCGCCATTTTTGTAATCATTTTTCTTCTGTTGTTTATAGCTCTTAAGATCGCTAGGCCAATGTCTTCCGTTTCAAGCCAGCCACAGTTTCGGTACACGCAGCCTCCTTCTAAGGTTCTTCATTTGAGAAACTTGCCATGGGAATGCACTGAAGATGAGTTGATTGAGCTCGGGAAGCAATTTGGCACAGTCGTTAATACGAAGTGCAATGTTGGAGCCAATCGAAACCAAGCTTTCATTGAGTTTGTAAGTGAAGAGACTATGCTAAAAGTGATTTATCATGAAACAAACAAGTTTCAGATTTTAATTGTGCTTTTTGTTTTCAGGAAGATTTGAATCAAGCAATACATATGATTTCTTACTATGCTTCTTCATCGGAACCTGCTCAAGTTCGAGGTAAAACCGTCTACCTCCAGTACTCAAACAGGCAAGAGATAGTGAACAACAAAACGACGGCGGATGTTGTGGGAAATGTGCTTCTGGTGACAATTGAAGGCGAGGATGCTCGCATGGTCAGCATTGATGTCTTGCATCTGGTAAGTGGATCGTGCACCTTATTTTCCTTTTTAGTTTCGTTAGAAGAAGTAAACATATTTCCAGGGACATTCTGATAAATTAGGGTTGTAGGATGGTCTGTGCTTTTGGAAACTTTGTTTTGACATGAGTGTAAATGGATCAGCAGGGCCATGTCAAGGCAATATCTTCAGTGGCAGCCTAATGCATTAGGAGAAAGAGCACATGTGTGTTTGTTTCCTTTTCTCCTTTCCCTGACACTTGCCTCTCTCTTTCCCTACTCTCTCCCTCACACTTCCCTTTTTGTCAAATACTCTAGGATTAGCAAGAACATGGTCTTACATAGGTTTAGTTATTCGTTTTGTTTGATATATTAAGGTGCAGCTCTATCTGCACATTTTGATTGTGATATAGAACTGTGTTTTGTGGTTATGATGAATTCTCTAGAGGTTCATCACTCTGCTAACTTGTTGAGAAGTATCTTGTTTCTAATATTGATTCTTTGATTTGTTGGAAGACATATATTTTGCCTTCCATAATTTCTAACACGGGATAAGAAATTGTCACGTCATATTATGTTGGTTTAATTTGCTATCCTAACTTTTGTGATGCTGTGCGAATATTATATGTAGAGTGTTAGCCCAAACTAAACTTGTCTTGGTGTTTTCTGAAATGCAAAACAATTACAAATGCTGCATCGGAGTCTCTTTAAAGTCGACCATTCTGGATTAGTTGTTGTTGTTCTAATTGCTGGTTTGCAATGCAGGTATTCTCAGCCTTTGGGTTTGTCCACAAGATTACTACTTTCGAGAAGACAGCTGGATATCAGGTATATCACCTGGCCTTCAATTACTTTGTATTCTGATGTTTTATAGTTGCTCATTGTTAATTGTTTGATTTGCTCTTAGGCACTGGTTCAATTCACTGATGCGGAAACTGCAACCTCGGCAAAAAATCAGCTCGATGGAAGAAACATCCCTAGGTGAAAGTTGTATTAATAGTTTGACACGGTATTTAGTCTAACTGTGAAGGGCTGTATTGTTCTAGATATTGCGTGCAAGGTCTTACATTTGTCAGCCTTCCAAGTGTTGATAGGATTTCTAGTTATCTGATGTTAAATTTTCTCTAGTCATGTATTGCGAGAATAGATGTAGTCCTATCGTGTACAAACCTGGGGAAATACTCTAGGCATTGGTAGATATTTAGAAAGAGGGTTGTTTTTTTTTTGAAGTGGGATCCTGGCAATATTGTGTGTTTATTTTACTACAAATCATACAGGCTTAGCATTAGAAATATTTCTGTTATAATTTAGGCGTACTTAACGCTGATGTCTCTTTCTCGGCACCAGGTATCTACTCCCTGACCATGTGGAGCAATGCTCTCTTAAGATCACATATTCAGCTCATACAGATTTGACTGTCAAATTTCAGAGCCATCGGAGCAGGTATGTGTGTTGAGACGTGTTTTTGGTTGACTTGGTGATTATGTGATCATAATTACTTAATTGTTGTTTCCTCTTTAATATGCAGGGACTATACTAATCCTTATCTTCCTGTTGCTCCATCAGCCATTGATAGCACTGGTCAGGTACGCAAGTTTGGGAACATTCTTTTACTTGAAAATGCATTTACGGTGAATGTGTAGATAATAATACAAAGAGATGCATGAAAGTGCAGACATGGTATATTGTTCTATAACTAATGTGTGATTTGTTACTAGGTGAGTGTGGGTGTAGACGGGAAGAAGATGGAGCCTGAAAGTAACGTGCTTCTCGCATCCATTGAAAACATGCAGTATGCCGTAACCTTGGATGTGTTACACATGGTAATACTCAGCTCTCTCTCTATGCTGAATCCTCCTCTCATTGAATAATCTGTGTGGTCACTCACAATGATATGTAATTCTCTCTTCCCGGGTAGGTTTTTATGGCGTTTGGGGCTGTTCAAAAGATTGCAATGTTTGACAAGAATGGTGGGATGCAAGCATTGATTCAGTACCCAGGTAAAACATGTTAAAATGAATATGCTCTCCTGTTTCATTGTCATTGATTTTTGCGTGAGAACAAATTCCAAATGACTTTCTTCGGTTTCAGATGTTCAAACGGCTGTAGTGGCCAAGGAAGCATTGGAAGGGCATTGTATCTATGATGGTGGCTACTGTAAGCTGCACATTACTTATTCACGCCACACCGACCTCAGCATAAAGGTACATTATTATCTCTCGTTTAAAAGTTTAAAAACCTTTTTATCAACGCCAAAGTAGGGATTTTTGAGGTTATTTGGATATTATATGCAGGTGAACAATGATAGAAGCAGAGACTACACGATGCCTAACCCGGCGGTTGCAATGGCTCAACAGCCTGGTCAGAATCCATACGCCGGCAATTCCCAGCATTACAACGCCGGCGATTCACAGCAATACAACGCAGCAGGTGCGAGCAGCCACCACCACCAGCAACAACAGCAGCAGCAGCCACAAGGTGGATGGCAAGGTCAAGGTCAAAGTCATGGTCACAATCCCTACATGGGTGCACCTTCTTCTGGTTCGATGCATCAAGGTCCAGGCGGTCATATGCCGCCGCAGCAGCATTATGGTGCTCCTGGTCCAATGCATTAGAGAGAAAGAGAGACTTGCTTAAAACTCCAAGACCAACCTGTTTTTATCTCGTAGCTTCTGTTTTTATGTTTTGTTTGGAACACTTGTACTTGTGTCCAAAACATCTTTATATGAAACCATTTGGTAAACTATTAATTATCATTTGCCTCTCAACTTAATCTTTCTATCTCTGTCTCGCTCACTCATTTTCATTATCAATAACTGTCTAATCGTCTGAGTATTGGCTAACAACATGTGTCTGGATAAGGTTTTCTTTTTTACTCCATTGATTGACTCTAGAAATCCCTCAGTGTAAAAAAGAAAGAACAAACCCAGAAGAAAGAAAGATAAAAGGATCTTGTGGCTCCCAAGTCTCCAAGTAAACTCTCTTCTCTTTTGCTCTGAATAAAAGTGAGTAAGGAAGGGAAGGAGGAAGGAGAAGATAAAGAGGATATTCAAAAACCCTAACTAACTTCAACTCCAATGTCTTCTTCTACTCTTCAAGCTTCTCTTCTCCTTCGTCCTCCTCTCCATACATCTTCCTTTAGACCTCATCATCATCATCATCATCGTCCTCTCTTCTCCTCCTCTTCGTCGTCTTCTCCTTCTTCTTCGTTACGTTTCAATTCTCAATCTCTATCCAGCTTCTACCGTCTCTCTTCGATTCTTCTCAGCTCTCGATTTCGTTCCCTTCCTTGCTCATTGCGTAATGACAATGTCGCTTCCGATTCCGATTTGCTCCCCAAGGACCCTCCTTTCGCCTTATCGGAGTCCGAGATTACGAATTCAGCAGAGAGTAGACCGGTTTCGGATTCGGATGTTCCGGAATTAGGGACGACCGATAAATTTGTGGGGACGAGTGAAGCTAGCCTTGCGGCGGAGACGAAAAGCGGAGGAGGAGAAGAAGCGGATGTTGTGAACGGAGTAACGGAGGGTAAGAAGGATGAAAGCCAGAAGAAGAGCAAGTTTCAGATAATGGTGTTGGTGATGGGGCTATGGGCGGCAATAAAGAGAGCCATGGAGAAGGTAATGGAATGGGAGTGGCTAAGCTGGTGGCCTTTCTCTCGGCAAGAGAAGCGTCTCGAGAAACTCATCGCCGAGGCTGACGCCAATCCAAAGGACGCTGCTTTGCAAGGAGCTTTATTGGCTGAGCTCAACAAGCACATGTATTGCCATTTCCCATCAAAACTCTTGATTGATATACTTGTAGTTTGAATTCAATAGCTCTTAATCGTCTTCTTTGCTTTCCAGTCCTGAGGCTGTAGTTCAACGGTTTGAGCAAAGGGAACACGCAGTGGACAGTAGAGGAGTTGCTGAGTATATTCGAGCTCTTGTCACTACAAACGCTATTGCTGAGTATCTTCCTGATGAACAAGCCGGGAAGCCCTCTAGTCTTCCCACACTGGTATTCTTTCTTTCATTTCTGCTTCTACAATGACTTTACATCTAGAATCTGTCTGTGTTGGTCTACAGTTATCTGTGTCCTGTTTCTTCTTGAGTCCGTCTTTGTAATACTCGTTGGTTTATGTGCAGCTGCAAGAGCTAAAGCAACGTGCATCAGGCAATATGGACGAATCATTTGTGAACCCTGGGATATCTGAGAGGCAACCGTTGCATGTTACCATGGTAAGTTTCTCTTGTCTTGCCTATCTGGTGAGGTATACGAAGTGTGGAGTTTTCGTAGGTTCTTGATGGTTCTATGTATCTTAAGTTGTTAACACGTGCCTTTGCTTTGTTGTTAGGTTAATCCTAAAGTTTCAAACAAATCAAGATTTGCGCAGGAGCTTGTCTCTACGATCTTGTTCACAGTTGCAGTGGGATTAGTGTGGTATGCGTCATCTCTTTTTTTAAGTTGAAATTAAGTTTACAATAGATAAATTTAGATAGCACGGGCAGAAATGTTGCTTCTCCATTTAAGATGGAAGTTCCTTGTTTAGGTTAATGGGTGCAGCTGCTCTGCAAAAGTATATTGGAAGCCTGGGAGGAATTGGAACTTCGGGTGTTGGTTCAAGTTCTTCATATTCCCCAAAAGAGATGAATAAAGAAATAACTCCAGAAAAGGTAAACCTTTGATCAAAGTTGAAGAATGATGTACTTCGCTGTTTACAAATCTAAAGTAGTTGAACTAGAGCTGCGAGGAAATTTATAGCTTTAGTTACAGTGCCCGAACATATAGTAAGAGAAGGATATAGCAAAGTAGTTGCATAATAGGATCCTTTACCTGAGATAATTATTGTCTTTTTGAATCCTGTATCCTCTCTGTATTAATGCTAATTTATCCTGATAGTTCTGTTCGTGTAGCCTTTGAAGCCAGTGAATTTCTAAGAGCAGCTTCGTTGTGTCTTTTACTGACAAGTTTGCTTGCTGCAGAATGTCAAAACATTTAAGGATGTAAAGGGTTGTGATGATGCTAAACAAGAGCTCGAGGAGGTGGTAGAATATCTAAAAAATCCATCAAAGTTTACCCGCCTTGGAGGAAAGTTGCCCAAGGTAATCTCTTTATATTTGGTTACTATATCTTCACAGTTGCATGTTACTTGGCACTTGGTTTTTTCCTCTCTACTTTAGTTATAGAATTTATTTAAAGTTAGCATTTTGACTTGAGACATTGTCTTAAATGTTTGCTTTCAGGGAATTCTTCTAACAGGGGCACCTGGTACTGGAAAGACATTGCTCGCCAAAGTAAGCTCTCACTTAGTGTTAGATTGTCGTCTTGTCTCTAGTGAATTGATTACTTATCAGAAAAGTATTATAAAGCCGCCAATACTTTTGATTGATTGCAAGTAGCTTACACTGTATAAATTTTGAAGGCGATTGCTGGAGAAGCTGGAGTACCATTCTTCTATAGAGCTGGATCTGAATTTGAAGAGATGTAAGCCTTCTTCTAGTCGTCTTTCTCTGGCATCTTAACTATTTATTACTATCAGGTGGCTTCTTCATCATATCACATTTTCCTTGACTGACAGGTTTGTTGGGGTAGGAGCTCGGCGTGTGAGATCCTTGTTTCAGGCAGCTAAGAAAAAGGTCTGACTCAAACCCGTCATTGCTAATAAGCTAGTTCAATTAAGAGTTATGCTGGTTATGCTGGAAAGCTTCTTACCATGAGTGAAGTTGTATTTGCTGACGATCATGTGTTACAGGCGCCCTGCATCATTTTCATTGATGAAATTGATGCTGTTGGGTCAACGAGAAAACAATGGGAAGGGCATACAAAGAAGACATTGCATCAACTGCTTGTTGAAATGGATGGTTTTGAGCAGAACGAGGTACGTTTTGATGAGAATAGTGTACCTTGTGATTACTTCTCCTAGTCTGCTGCAATATAATTGTACCATTGCTTCCTTTTATTTTTGCAATACAGGGAATAATAGTTATGGCTGCAACAAACTTGGCTGATATACTTGATCCAGCTCTGACAAGGCCTGGTAGATTCGATAGGCATGTAAGTTTCCAGCTTCTTTTGATGATTCTCTCTATTTTCATCTGTATATTTTCAAGCAGAATTTAGATTGGTGTGCTTCTACGTTATGTAAATTGTTACGGAATTGGCAAAGTAGGAAGAAGAAAGAACTGACATATTTGGTTTTAGATTGTCGTCCCCAGTCCGGATGTGCGTGGTCGCCAAGAGATTTTGGAACTCTACCTCCAAGGCAAACCTATGTCAGATGATGTGGATGTTAAAGCAATTGCTCGTGGAACTCCTGGATTCAATGGTGCTGGTGAGTATCTTAAATCTATTACTACAGTTTAATAATCCTTTAAGTCAGTCAAAGTGTCTTCTTTTGTCATTGAGCTATTAACTCACCACATTCTCACCAAAACAAATTCCAGATCTTGCAAATCTGGTGAATATTGCTGCCATAAAGGCAGCTGTTGATGGGGCTGAGAAGCTATCTTCTCAACAGTTGGAATTCGCAAAAGACAGAATAGTTATGGGCACAGAGAGGAAGACAATGTTCGTCTCAGAGGACTCAAAAAAGGTATAATTAAACACGCGAGCATAGAAGTGTTTAGATTGGTGTTCAAACATGATGCGACCTCTCACTTGCTTCTTTGCCTCTCTCAGCTCACTGCATACCATGAGAGTGGTCATGCTATCGTCGCTTTGAACACGGGAGGTGCTCACCCGATCCACAAGGCGACTATAATGCCACGTGGATCTGCATTGGGAATGGTCACGCAGTTACCCTCTAACGATGAGACGTCAGTGAGCAAGAAGCAGTTATTAGCTCGTCTTGATGTATGTATGGGAGGAAGAGTTGCTGAAGAGCTCATCTTTGGCCAAGACCATATCACCACTGGAGCTAGTAGCGATCTATCCCAAGCCACAGAACTTGCACAATACATGGTAATTATAACCCCAGCTTATGTGACACGAACATTACAAGCTATTGGCAAGAAGAACTTTCCATTGTGGAGTTTTGATAACGAAACGTACCTATTTTGGTAGTTGTGGTAATGATTTTTGGTTTATTACGGAAGGTATCGAGTTGTGGGATGAGTGAGGCAATAGGACCAGTTCATATTAAAGAAAGACCAAGCTCTGAAATGCAATCACGCATCGATGCAGAGGTAAGGACTCATTTCTTTGTAAAAACTTGTTCAAATCCATTTTTTCTCAAGTCTGATCATTCCTCTGTGTGGTGTTGATGCTTTTGGTCAGGTTGTGAAGCTTCTACGAGAGGCATATGAGCGAGTCAGATCTCTGTTGAAACGGGTTTGTTTTTGCAAAGTCCCACAAATCAGTTTTGGGCTCGATCAAAACCCATTTAATAAAGTCTTTAATCACTTATATTTTTGTGTGTTTCCCCACAGCATGAGAAGCAGCTACACATTTTAGCAAACGCACTGCTAGAGTATGAAACGCTAACCGCAGAGGACATAAAGCGGATTCTCCTTCCGAAGCAAGAAGGAGACAAGTTACAGGAGCAACAACAAGAAGAAGGAGACTTGGTATTGGCCTAAAATCATTTCATTCATTATCATAAACACAACTGTTTTGGTGAAAAAATGGTAGGTTC